ATAAACTTACATCATATAGAACAACATTTGTGACTTCACCTAAAGTTTCGCATTCCGTGCGAATGTCTTCTTTCAATTCCAATAATAACCCAGGATCCTCCTGTAACATACATTTTATAAATTATAATGAAAATATCATACGAGGAAACTGATTTGATTTAATTCTTGTACCTCGAGTTCTTCCAAGGTAAACATATGCTTCAATACCACCATTTTACTAGAACGCTCACTACGCTTTCCTGTTTCTTCGTCAAACCATTCCAATTTTCTAAAAATCAATTAAAATTATTGGTATAACAAAAATATAATATTCATGCGGAACAAAGATACTTACTTGCCGAGTTGTTGAATCTTTTTTTGAATCTTTCGTTTGTCGACCTTATTGTTTTGCACAACATTACTATTCTGTTGTTGGCTTGCCTCCCCTGGCTTTATTTCTTTCTCTTTAAATTCAGCCTATTTTTTTTTTGGTATTCAGATGTGAATTACATTCAAAATTTTTTTTATTCATTATCGGATGAAAAATAAACGACAAACCATTTGCACGCTAATCTTTGTCTGCTCATTCGGACGAAATTCCGTATCATCCAATAATTGACAGGCAAGTGTTACCGATTCTTCCTTTAAGTAAGTAACGAGTGCATCTCCTTTTGAGACATCTTTTGAATCCTTGTAAATTTTTATTCTTGGGCCACCTATTATTAAAGTGCATACACAATATATATAGCAGCAATAATAGTATATTGTGTATGATTATGATAATTTATAAGAAATTATTTGAAAATTTATCAATAATAAACTAACCCTTGACATAATCCTCCATCAACACTCCACACTTTGAGAACACTTCCGCTAGTTCTTCCACAGTCACATCTGTAGGCAACCCAGTAATATAAACAGAAGTATTTGGTTTCTTTTTATTTTGATTATTAGGTTTTTGTTTTTTTGCATTTTGCTCTGTCTAAAAAGTGAACAAAATATTTTCATTGTTATTATTGTGGTGTTGATTGTTAGATTGATTATGAAAAAATTTAATGAAAGAAGCTACGAACGTCATCATCCATAGTATAGACATTTTTTCGCTTTGTTCGTGGTTTTGGCAAAATCGGTTCCTGTCACCAAAAAACACGCCTCTTTTGAGGAACGAGCTTTTTGGAAGCTCAAGTGAGAATTCAACAGAAAATACAACGCCAAAAAACATACGGCTTCGTTAACGCCGGGCACCGAATACGCAGACTGTTGTGCTTCAATCAATTTTTCGTTGTACTTTGTAAAAATAGAGGCACATTCATGTATTTATATTTTGTTTATCAAAAAGGGGAACATAGAATAAAAGTCCGAAAGATTCGTACCATGGGGAACCACGCTTTTTGAATCTCGTCATACTCGTAAGTAACTCCGTCGTCACCTGTATATGTCCACTTTTCCGTCTCTTGCACAAAGTGCATACGCGGGTCAGAACTAAAATCCGGTAACGAGAAAGAGGAAGCAACTTCACTACCACCCACGCCGCTGATGTTTGCAGCTGATCTATGATTTGTATTTTGTGAAGAATGGGAGAGGTGTGTGGCCATTTGTTACATCAAAGAAGTTTATAAAAAAACGCTATCGCTATATATTATTGATGACGAATCAAAATTCCATATATAATGTCTCGTTATTCTGTTAAGCCCATACATAATATGTGCTACCATAAGCTAAAATTCCGACCTTTCCCACATATACGCGAAAATATTCCGAATATCTCGGCACACTTTTTAATGCATAAATACGGATTTGGGTGAACATATGATTTATAGTCTAGGATAAAGGAGCACATTTCTCACATTTTGTCTTTGCCGGAGTTGTTCAAAATTTGTGCATTCTTATTGGTGGACGGATTACACGTGTTTAC